CTGCCCAGCATGGCCACCCCGGTGCTGCAGGGGCTGGCCTGGTACAGGTAGGGCACGCACCCTTCCCGCACAGGTGCCGTACCTGATCCGCCACCACACTCTCACTGCCACATTGCTTCTCCACCCCATGCACAGGCCCTGCCCCATCCCCGCGCGCTCGCGGCCTACTGGTACTGGCAAAAAGTAAGCCCTCCCCGAAAGTAAATCCTAGTGCTTACTTCAGATGTAAGCTGTTATGAGTAAAGCTGTCTTTTGCAATTGACTGACAGTGATTTTGTCATTGCCAATGGCTTTCAAGTGGTATTCCAGTTGTTTTGGGATTGCACCCAAGGTGCTTTTTACTATTGTTATTACCTTTGCTTTCATTTGCCAGAGTCATTCTATTTCTATTTGCAGGTCTTTGTATTGTGTTATTTTCTCCAGTTCTTTCTCTTCTATTCTGCAGTCTCCAAAAATTGCCACATCCACTATCCAATTTTTTTTTGTCTTTCTTATCAACAATTATTAAGCCTGGGCTATTATATGGCAGTTGCTTGTCTGTTTGAATTCTAAAGTCCTGGAGCACTTTAGCTTTTTCATTTTCTATTACTTTATCTATTTTATGGTTCCCATCAGTTTTTGCTTGCAGACAAATGGTATTTATTGTAGATCTTCCAATGCAGTTATTATTTATTATTATTAGATTTTTGTCTGGTGAGTATCAAAGCCACTGGCCTGGATGAAAACCAGAGCATCCGGGAGTACATGAATAAGATGGCACCAAAAGATGAGCTGCTGAGAGAATGCCTGAGGCGGCAGCAGATGTGGGAGGAAGATCAAGCAGAGGAAGTGCCATAGCAAGATAAGACCCTGCATGGTATGTATTATTGACAGACAGCTGAAGTGGCAGACACTAGCAATGGCTGGAAAGGGCTGGACTAAAGACAGCACCAAGACACCGAACATAGCAGCACAAAAACAGGCACCAAGAACTAGATCTATAGATGCAAGGGTCTACCACACTAGATAGGACCCAAGGTGCAAAATATGAAGAGAATCTGGTGAGTGCAGGTCATAATAGCAATTACACCCTCATATCACCCTTTTATTTCTTATTGCTTCCTGTGCATTGTTATGGGATTGCTAAGTGCTCCTGTACAATGTGATCTCATTCTACCTTTCCATATAATCATTACTGCAATACCAAGCAAATTTCAAAATCGTCTGTTTAAAAACAGTCCCCTGGAAAATGGCATTCCTCATCAATGAATATGTACGCTTACTCACTACCTCCTATTTTGCAGTATTAAATATAGTCACAGTTATTCTTTTGCCAAAGAATAAAAACAAATAAATGTATGGCATCCATTTTCACTGCTCATCTGTAGGACAACTTTAGCAGGAAGTGGCCATCAATGTCTCTAGATCAGGGGTGTCAAACTGGTGGCCCGCAGGCCAGATGTATCACGTGTAGGCCACGCCCACCCCGGCTCTGCAAAGGCAAAACACGTCACGATACATCACGTGACGCGATCGAGTTTGGCACCCATATTCTACATTATCATCGTTCCCATTTTTCAGATCAGAGACTTATGTTTATAATTTTTTCCTTATTTTGAATTATATAGCTATTTAAACTCGTTTACTGTAATACCATTTCAGCATTGTGCTCCTTTGGAAAAAGAAACAGGATATAAGGAATTGAATCAGACAAAATAGCTCGATTATTTTTTTCTCTAAAAGACAGTCACTACATTTTGAGTTTATATATACTCGTATGAGATTGCAGGTAACCAAATCATTTATTTCTCCCAACTATATATAGAAATACATACTGTGGTTAAGAAAGTATGTAGACACATAAATACAGTATTTTTAGGCAGGAGAAAGAATTTATTTTTTGCCTGGATTAAAGGTAAAGATGTTTTTGCTCCTGATAACTGCTTTCATACAATCTTCTTGGCAGGGTTACAGATTGGTTTGCTTTTGCTTCTAATTTTTCCACTAGTCACTAGTACACTAATCCCTACTAGTGTAGTAATAGTAATCCTTTTTAAAAAAGAGAATATAGAAAAGAAAACATTGCCCTAAGATGACAATCTTTTCCTTGCCAGTATTATATTTTACATTTTGAAAGATTTCTTAACATTCCATTCGTTCATTATAAAGATGTCTGTTTATTCTCAAGCTTTTTATTAATGCATAGTTTCAATAAATAAATTATATTAGGAAATAATATAATTGGTTAATTAAGTTTTCCTTAAACCTCTTTTCTTACTTTCTGGTGCTTTTGAAAAATTGAACTAGTAGCAGAATTCTTCAACAAATTCAAATCCAACAAACAGAAAGGAACAAAGGATTCATTTTTAAAGACAACTCTGGCAATTCTCATTGAAATAACAGTGATAATAATGCATTTAGAAATTACTCACAAGATAAGAAAACAATGCAATATAAAACGATCAATTGCAAACAGCTTTCACTTATTTTTATTTCAGCTTGATTTGTAGAGGAACACTTCCCAATTAACGATCTGTGTCTAAAGCAACTAGTAAACCCGACGGTTTGTATTTTCCTACAGTACACTTTATTTCAGTTTATATATATATTTAAAAAATAACGTGTTAGAGGAGTTTTTCCAGAAACAAACTAGTCATTTTTCCTGATTGCAACATGATGCAATTTTCTGATTGCAGCATGCTGCAAGACTTCAAGTACTGTAAAAACCTTTATTCCTTTTTTTTTCCTTTCCGGAGAAAGCGGTATAAAGTATGCGAAAGATAGAGAGTCATTATGTTCCAAAGCCTTATTGTGGTTTATAGGTTGCCAGGGCAACACACTCGCTCCAGTTCTCTCCCTCCCCGCCACGAGATATTCACGCTGCTCTTTCAGTTGCCACTCCTTTGTTGCCACGGGCGCTGGAGCAGAAAGAGACAGGAAGTGTTATTTCTGATTGGGCATTGCCGAGACTTGCTTATTAGCATATCCGGACGGAGTCTGACTAGCAGCACGCACGGTGATTGGCTGAACCTGGAGGTGAGGCTGTGGGGTGATCCCGGCAGGCCGGTAACTGTCGGTCATTGACGGGGCTCAACTCCGGGAGGCGGCACGGGGAGGTTTTATGCGTGTGCGTGACCTCCTTTGCCCCGAAAAGTATCGCGCGTCAACTCGGGTCTTCTCGCGGCTTCATAGTCTTTTATTTTTTTCATTCTGGATGGCGGAAGGGGAGAAAAGTTGTAGACATTCGCCTGCAGACTGTTCAGACTACTCCGCTTTGGCCTGCTCGCGGAAGTAGACCGTCTGCAGCGGTGAGATTCGTGTTCACGCATCTGAGGCGTGAAAAGCGATGGAATGCCAGCGACCTACTTGCAATACGAATCTAGCAAATAGTTTCGACCTTCGAAATAGTCTTCCAAGGCGACAAAAACAACCTAGCCACCACTTGCTATTGCCGATAACGCATATCTCCCTCGTTCATCTGGTTAAATTGATGCGGGATATTTTTTTTTAAGTGCGCTACTAAAACCTGGGTGTAATATGATGAAAGAGGGAAAAATCAATCGGGATCCTTGTCTCTAGGATATTTAAACTTGAAAAATCATGCTAAATTTTTAGGCACACTTAACTGGAGTAAAACGGACACAAGGTTCATCCTCCAGTAAAAGTATATACTTAAGAAAAAATGTGCGCTCTCCTCCCATCCGATGTCTACTATTCCAAGGCGATAAAGGCTTAAACTTGAATGTAATGTGCCCCTCGCGAAGGGAATAATCTATACACGTGTTCTGTCGTCTAGCTGGCTGCACTCGATATTTTTGATCGTAGAAAATCTGCCTAAAAGCAATTTAATACATTCTCGAAGCCTTTGTCGGGACTGAAAGTAGAATTTAAAGGTGTATATATGAAAGTAGAATTTTATATCAAACAGATTTTAGAAAAAGAGTCTGTAGTCCATTCCCGTTAAGGCCGTATTTTGGGAGTTTGGTCCCGAGTCATTCGTACTCTGATCCCAATTTTTTCCCCGGCGGGATAAAAACCGCCGGGAAGCCATTAGTTGCTTTGGGAAATTAGCACCAGGAAAGGGTTAGTTAGTAGGCCGTTCCCCAGAAGAGTTGCATTTTATTTAAAATACTTGTAATCATGTGTGTCCCGCAGACATCTGCCTATTTTATTTGAAGTTGAACCCGAGGAAAGAGGAATGACCTCACGCCTAGAGCGCATTTTTTTTCCACCGACTAGTAATTGTTTGTGGGGTAATTCACGGAGCTGAGTAGAATTTCAAGGCAGGTGTCTTGAGGCAGAGCGATACCTTTTGACGCCATCAGCGTTTTAAGAGCCAGGTGTGATTAGTCGGTCGCTCACTACAGGCTCAGCATTTTGTTGTTGTTGTTACCGTGTCAGAGAAGCCCTAAGACTGACCCTGACCCTAACAGAAGCTTTGGGTCTGAAGTCTGGTAAGAAACCACTACAAATATGGTGCCCTCCTGAAGACGCCTTTGAGCAAGAAAACGGCGAAGGATTGGGGAAAGCTTTTAGTGGGGAAAGCAAAAAAAATGTCCCGCCTTCCATTGCTGCGGAACTTGTTTGCTCTATTTTAAAGTGTAACCGCCTTTAACAGTTGCCAACGTTTTTGTCCTTTTGAGTGCTTTTCGGCAACGATCACACAGCATTTGGGAGGCTGATTTCAATTACCTATTTTAATTTTATTTTTTTTAAAAAATGATACTCTGGTTGCCTCGCGATGGGGGGGGGGAGCTAGAAGAGAATTGAGTTATTGAGGCTCCCACAAGCGGGGTTGTAAAAGGAGAGGAAACCCAGTCGCGTTTGTTTTACTCGCTCCTGCACGGCAGCCTGAGAATCTGCAGGAGAGCAAGCTAACTCCTGCTTTGTGGGATGCTGCAAAGATTTCCTTTGGCTCACATAGTGGGGTGAGAGGCTCTATTTGACAGCTTCCCCTCCTCCAATCAACACCAGTGCGCATAGGGCCCTCCCCGGTGGATGTTGGCGAAGAGGCGGAGCTGCGTGTCGATCTTGCTAGCAGAATCCGGTATTACATGTGGTCATTTGGAAAGCAGAGAAGCCTCTTTTTTTCCCCTTCCCTTGCTTCACTGCAAGGGGGTGGCCCTTGGAAACACCTTATTTTAACATACGGGCTATAAATACTGCTCGGAGATAGGGACGGACTGAAAGACTGCGGTAGGCATCAGGACGCCCGTGGAGCCGGCTAGCCGCCATAGGTAAGGCAGCGCTTGAAGCTCGCGGTGAGCGCAGGGGCGGCAGCGCGCTTCTTTCGCTCCCTCGGCTGCCTTCCATTTGCTGCTTTGAATGGAAACGGCGCCGAGGCGATTCTTTGGAGTAGAGGCTGGGTTTTCTCGCGGCTTGCGAGTAATACATTTGGGATCGGCAGGAGAAGAGTTACTTCAGACTCCCTCCCCCCCCCCGCGCCTTTTGCATTGAAGGAAGTTTTATTTGCACGGGAGGAAAGCAGATGCGAGCCAAGCCGGGATTCTACCGTCTGGGTGGAGCTGGCAGTCCAAAGGCGCTGTTAAAGAGACGCGCCTGTGTGGCTATATGAGCGTTTTCCATCGAAGGAGAGCGAGGTGCTTACTGGGCTGGGTCCTCGACGAGAAAAGGACTAGCGTTGAAGCAATGAGGAGTAGGCGATGAAATGGCTACAGAGGAGAAATACCCGAGTGAGGTTCTGCTGCTTGTTCCCGCGTGTAGAGAGATGGGGACAATGGTTATTTCGGTGCTTTGGTTGGGCTTAAAACTGTTCTCCTTTACCCGCGTATTTACAGAAATGTGCTCAGTTTAATTCGGGAAGCGGTGGGGAGGGAACTGCACTGACGGTACGCGAAGGTCGAGATGAGAAGAGGGTGGGGTTTGGGTTTTTTGTTTTACTCCTTCAGTAGTTTATTTTATGAATTAGCAACAGAGTAATACAATTATAAATTGGAGGAGGAGCACCATGGAGAAAACTGTAAATTTTATAAGAGCCAGGCACTTGATGAGAGGCAAGGGCTCAAACCAGCGAGCGGGCAGCCAGAGCTGATGCGGCAAGGGTTTGGGGCAAGGCACGGGGCTGGTCTCAATCGCCATCTTTTGTTCTCCTTTTCAGCCACTCCTTGCAGCAGAGGCTTTCTTACGCTGAGCCTGCACTGTACCTAACATTTGAGAAAGAAAGTTGGAGAAATACCACTATATCCTTGGGAACATATTGTAGAGAAAAGGAAAACAGTGGTGGTCTTCCTTTTTGGAAAACAAACTTAACTCTTGGCAGCAATTTTTCTCACTGATTCCATCTTAACCAGCTAGACCTTCCTTAAGATTACTTCTCTCCTGTTTCCATCACAGTCGGAGAATTTGCTTGCTCACAGTGCACCTTACCCAGCAATCAAGATGATGCAGATCTGTGACTCTTACAGCCAAAAACATTCCCTCTTCAATGCAATGAACCGCTTTATTGGAGCTGTTAACAACATGGACCAAACGGTGATGGTGCCCAGTCTTCTTCGGGATGTGCCTCTCTTGCTGGAAGAACTGGATTCAGGGGGTGGTTGTGGAGAAAGGGAGGCCCAGTTGACTCCCAATGGCAGTACCTATTGTTCTTGCAGAGATATGTATAGTCACTATATGTTGCTCAAGTCCATTCGCAATGACATTGAATGGGGTGTATTGCAGCAGGCAAATGAGGACACCACTGGAAGGAAGAAGGATAAGCTGAATGGGAGCTCTGGTGCCATGGACATAAGCCGAGGGGTCCCTGAAGATGAGGAGGCGGAGGAGGATTTAGAGAAGCAATTTCATTATCACTTGAGTGGGCTTCACACTGTGCTCTCTAAACTTACCCGCAAGGCCAATGTACTTACCAACCGCTACAAGCAGGAGATTGGAGTCAACAACTGGGGGCACTGAATCAGGGAGGGGGAAAGCATGGCCTGCCTGCCTGCCTGCCTGCCTGCCTGTTTGGGTGAGAAGTAAAAAAACAAAACAAAACAAAAAACAGAAAAAGGGGAAATAGGCATTTGGAAAGGGCTAAAGAAGAATGCAAACAAGAATGATTGTGTGTGTGTGTGTGTGTGTGTGTGAGAGAGAGAGAGAGAGAGAGAGAGTGTATGGGAGATTTAAAATTGTAAAGAAGGAGTATATCAAGGTCAGTAGTAAGTGTAGGATGCAGTATAAAATTTTGTGTCTTGAAGAGAAGAATGCAAAGATAAGAAAATGAAAGGGGCTTTTTATTTTAGAATTTTACTGTTGACTACTATAACTTTTGGGAGGCAGGGTGATAAATTTCTGCCTGAACTAGCAGGCATAACTAGGCAGCCAAGTATAAAGTTTCCAGATTTTGAAGACTCAGAATGATGTATAATGGCCCTGGCCAGTTACTGAAAGAGTTTGTTATAATTCCTGGGAAACTGCACAAGTGCATGTGGTGGTGGCAATTGTAGAAAAGATTGTATCACTTCTTTCCTGATTTTGCACTAATTTTGTAACATAAATATATATGTGTGTGTGTGGATGTATGTAAGAACCTATCAATTCTCTGCATGCTGTCAGAATTATAGACATCTTATTTTTTACCAACGCACAAAAATGTATATTAACACTAGTTAAATATGTTTTTTAAATATACAAGGTGAACAGTTATTGTTCATCTTTAGATACAACACTTATCTTTCCTTACTGCATAGAACTGGTTGAGATGAAACTGCAAGTATGCTACTTAAAATATTTTTGCAGTGGATACAACCAGTTAGCTAATGTCCACTCATATTTCAGTGGAGAGTAAAACCAATTACTTAATGTGCACTCATATTTCACTGGAAAGATAGGGTCCCATTATTGTACATGTATTGAAGATTATTTAAACTTTTTTATTCAGATGTGGAATATATTCTAAAATAAGATATATTGACTAAAGTTGATGTATGTTTGTATACTATGGCTCCACTTGAATTAAATGCTAATGTTTACAATACAGCAACTCTAAATATTCTTTACAAGAGAAATTACTCTTTAAATTGTTTTAATCAATTTATTCAAATGGATTGTAGGAGCAGTGTTCTCTGTTCACAACTCTTATTCCATGGAGCAGATGATCTTTGCATTATATTCCAAATTGTGTTGTTTAATTTATGTATATGCTGACTTTCTTTGATTAAATTCAAAGAAATGCAAATAGGGCTTCTCAGGGCATTACATTTTCAGACCTTTCGCAAAGTGGCTGTATCATGTGTCTTCCACCCAACCTCTCTTCTGTATCGGACAGCACTTCTCAGAGCTCATTTATGTCCCATGAAATCATCTGCTTATTGGTGCGGTTGGCTTTTTTAAAGGTAAACACTCAACTCCTGTTTCTTGATACCGGTAGTATGAAAGTGGCTTGTCAGTATCTTATTCTAAGATGTTTTTCAGACTACCTAATCAGTCTTACACACCTGAAAGTTATTCCTGGTTTTCCTTGCTTAGGTTTCTGAGCATAGGCAAAGTAGGCCAGATATTGTAATTTGTACATGAATACCCATTTTGTAGTAGATCAAAACAAAATAAAAACTATTCACCCTCAAGATATACAAGATTATCTGTCCATATAACAAATAGTTTTTCATACAGTATATACTCCAAACTTGGTTATTTAAAAAGGTATCCATCTTACTAATACTTACTAATACATAATCAAATTTACATTGCCAAAATTGCTGTAGACATTGTAGGTAAATGTTTTATCAGATGTAATGTATTTTACAATCAACACCATTCTTTAAGTTTAAATTAAGATTTTGAGCACTATCCTTGAAATAATTATAATACTGAGAGAATAGCCATAGTTTTCTTCTTCTTCTATCTAGACTTATAGCCAATCCAGAGTATTTATATTAAGAAGATCCTGACTAATCCGTAATCCTCTTATACCGTCTTTATACAATAGGCTTATTGATTGGTCTTTCAAGACTACCTTTAAATGGTGATGTTTTAAACCATGCAATTTTAAAATGTAGAGAGATAAAAGGACCCTTCAGGATGCAATTATATCTTTTATTTTGTTTAAAATGCGGTACTATTGCATATGCACTATCCTGGATTACATTATAGTTCAATAGCAGCGAAAAGATGAAGGATAAAATTTATCCAAAACTAAGCAAGAAGTTTTCCCATCTTTGGGGAAGAGATTTTTTTAAAGAGTATTTCTAGATTACTTTAAAAATAAAATGGCATACAATGAAATTTAGATTTCCTGTAAATATATATTTAAAAAATCTACAGCTAAAATAAATAGAATGTGCCACCAAGCCCATTTGACTTACAGGATGCTTTTCCACATAACTGAAACAAGGCATGCATTCATTGTGTTATTTTCGACACTATTGTATCCAAGAGCAAGCAGATTAGAGTCTTCAGGATTCTAATATATATGTCACTAGCAATACAATACTATTGTCCTGTTTATTGATCATGTGAAATAAAACAGTTGTGTCATCAGCCCAAATCCTTAAATGTCTTACACAGAGCTTTCTTATGCTATCTATTTATCTATTTGGGATAATCCCTTTTCATAGTCCACAAAAGAACCCCAAGCAAACGTATACACATTAAATATATGCAACAAAATGTATAAAATATGTAATTTACAGATTTTTTTTAAGTAGAAGGACCACAACTCGTGACTTGTGATGGCTTTACATGAAATATATCCTTGAACCTGCAATTTTGTCACTTCAATTTCCAGCAGTAAGTTCTATTCAACTCAGTGGCATTACTTTACTTTAAGTTGGCACGATCATGCTACAAGTCTTGCCCCCCAAAATACTCAGCATTATTCCATTTTTTTAAATTAAATGGGAGGTATAAGGGACAGATTAATATATTCTGGAAATTAAACTTTGAATAATTGAGAGGAATTCATATTTACCCTTGTATTTCAAGCTAGAAATGTCAAGAATAGTTTGGTTATAATGGTATATCACTGAGACTTGAGGCAAGTATTTTTTCATATTTGTACTAAGACCCAGTTTCAGTAACCTAGTTTCAGTAACTGGCATCCTTGAAAAATTGCCCTGATAGGACAGTAAATCTTCAAAACCACTGCCAAAGTGTAATCCATTTTAATTTTTTCTATCATATCCTGGCCATTATGTAAGAATTTTAAGTTGTCATTATTTCATGATGCATTGCATTGGACAAAACTCCATTAAATATTCCAAGGTACTTTATTGTGAGAAATGTAAAATGGTAGTTCATAACCATCCCTTACTCAAGATAAGTTGTTCCTATAGGAGAAGCTCCAACATAGAAGTATATCTAGGAATGTGCTTCATTCCTTATGTATGTAGTACACCATAGGAACGTAGGAACCTCCTTATGACAAAATCTTGTCTATTTTCATTGTTTATGGCCTTTAACATTTTACAAATTGGATATGCCACTAATCACTCTGAAAAATATGTATGAAAAGCAAATTCCTTTCCATGTAACCTGGGGGATATTGGATACTAGCCAAACTTCACCTCTGTTTCTAAACAGTAAAATGTTTGAAAGTGGGATTTGCAGTGCAATATCTTGGGCTTTGGGCCCTTTCACATATTATTTCACTAAAACCATCATGAAAGGGCCTTTGATTAAAGAAAGAATTAATTAAACTTGCTTTTGTTAGATGATTAAAAAAAGTTCTTTTTAAATTAAGAACCAGTCAGGGCAAGATAACTTTAGTCCATCTAAATGAGTAAGGAAAAAGAACCTAAGAGAAAACTTTATCCTGTGATCTGATCCTTTTAGTATGTGATAGACAATTTCTTCCAATCAGGATTGATTAAATTGTAACAATTTAAAGCCAATATGAAGCTATAAATAAGAATCAGTTAACCTATAGTGTGAGGAACTGAACATATAATGGGAGGAACGGGAGTGAACAGGGCACTATGGGATATTTGCTATTTAATAAAACTCCCCATGGCAGCCAGAACCATGCATACAGTTTGGGATCTGCTAGGGACATCATTAAAAAAAATAACCAAGATACTTGGGTACTGTAAACCAGGAATGTTTGGGAACATCTAGTCATTTCTGGCACCAGATACATTTTCTAGTATTTCTACAGAATTGTAACCTCATGATACCTCAATTATTAGATAGATTTCAATTTAGCTGAATAATTACAAGTAGATAGCTTGGAGAGTAGAGTCAAATGGGGGGGGGGGGGTGTCATGAGGTTCTGTCATGAACTCTGTAATGTTCAATAATCTTATTAATGACCTGGATGAAGGGATAGAGAAAATGACTGAATTTTTAGTCATCTACAAATGACTAGCACTTTAGAAGAAAAAGAGAAAATTGAAGTTTTGAATAGTGGGCCAAAATGAACAGTATGGTATTTAACAGGATTATGCAGAAAGGATTTGGATGATTATCAGATCACAAGTTGTTGCACCTGACACAAGTTGAATGCGAGTCAACCATATAATGCACCTCCTAAAAAGATGAATCTATTTTGAGATGCATCAATGAACATATTGTTCACATAGAAAATAAGTTTCTTTTGCCTCAATCAAGCCCAATGGTGTCAGCAGGCTGTAGTAAAAAAAAAGTAGATGCAGTAGTGTAATCCAAGTTCTGCTTGTTTTTTATGTGTCATTTGTGCATTACATTAAAAAAAACAAGCAAAACTTTGATTGCACCATGACTGCCATTTTGACTTTTCCCCCCATGCCCTATGAATATGCCTGATTAGAGCCCTACTGGAATATTGTGTTTTTGCATCATAGTCTAAAAAGGACATTGAGAAACTGAAGCAAGTTCAATCAATGGCTACTAAAATGGTGAGGGAACTGGGAACCCAGGAACTATGAGAAACAATTAAAAGGACCTGGGTATATTTAGCTTGCAGAAAAGACTGGGGCAAGATATAACAGTTTTCAGCTGTATAAAGGATTGTCATACAGATGAGGATGTTGACTTGTTCTTTGTTGAATCAAGATGGCTGAACCAGAACCAATGGTTGAACTACAGAGAAGTAGATTCAGGTTTAGCATTGGGAAAAATTCTTTGATGTAAAAGCTGTTAAACAGCAAAATAGATTGCCTCATGAGGTGGCATTGTTCCTACAATCATTCCTCTTCTTGTAGTCATATGACCCTACTTTGGGCCCTCAGCAAGACAGCTGTATTTACAGCTGTTTGCAGTGTCCTGTGATCATGTGGCCCTGTTTTATGATGGTTTTGCCTAAAACTGGCACTTTTAGTTTTTGGCAAAACTCCACCATAATGAACAATGAGTTGTTGAATGACCATGGATTCACATATACAACTATGCATTCGATTAACAACTGCTGCAAGTCATACAATTGGGTTAGTCATGTTTTACCATTTTTATAAACATTACAACTTATGACTATAAAGGGCAGGTTACATTACTGTTGTAATTTGACGACTACTATAAATAAATTTGATTAATAAAAAATAAATTAACTCAAGCTGCTGACATATCATTTCTGTTTATTATACAATGAGGGAAAAGATTATTTGATCCCTACTGATTTTGTATGTTTGCCCACTGACAAAGAAATGATCAGTCTATAATTTTAATGATAGGTTTATTTTAACAGTGAGAGACAGAATAACAACAACAAAATCCAGAAAAATGCATTTCAAAAAAGTTATAAATTGATTTGCATTTTAATAAGTGAAAGAAGTATTTGACCCCTTCACAAAACATGACTTAGTACGGTATTTGGTGGCAAAACTTTTGTTAGCAATCACAGAGGTCAGACATTTCTTGTAGTTGGCCACCAGGTTTGCACACATTTCAGGAGTGATTTTGTCCCACTCCTCTTTGCAGATCCTCTCCAAGTCATTAAGGTTTTGAGGCTGACGTTTGGCAGCTCGAACCTTCAGCTCCCTCCACAGATTTTCTTGTTTTAAACAATTTTTATTAGTTTTCCATTTTGCACCAACAGAAGCTTAAGAACCAATGTGGAGATATGGTGATCAATTACAAAAAGAAAACAATAGCATTATAAATATACAGTTCACACAATATTTCTTAAAATTTCCCTCTCTATCTATAGATAATATTATAATCAAATTGATTCAAATAAAATCATTCATTAATATATCTAAATATAAATTCTCTTAATCAATCAAAACTTTCAACCGCTCAGTGTCTATTCTATACAAATCTATAATTTCTCACATATTTAAACTTAAACTGAAACTCTCCATTT